TATAGCGTGGTCATATTACAATTTTTTTTACATTGGTGAAATGTTGATTTAAATACTACACGTTTTTTACCCTTAAAACTTGTGTGCTTGAGAATGATTGCACCAATGACCAAAACTTCATGCTTGTTTTAAAAATAAATCTTACTTACTGTAAAAGCTGTAACTTGTAAAAAAAAGTGTAGCAATGTAACTAACTGAGCTGTATACACTCTACTGTGTTACCACACACAGACATTCATGCTCAGTTGAACTCCATACAAAATTTAGATGCAGCTTGTCCAGGATAGAAAGTTTAGTGACTAAAACAAAATTATTAGCCTATCACAAAAGCAAACTTTTCCTAACATTTTCAGCCTCTTTTGGTAGATTGTACCAACATTTCTCTTGTACAAACTATAATCTTTTTAAAAAAAAAATGGACAAAGAGGTATTTTTATGGGGGTTCAAATTTTCAAGTTTGTAGTTAGGGAATTTACCAATGATTTTGGTCAAGGATTGGGGTCAACATTATGTGTGTAGTGTGGGCATAGATAAGCGTACAATAGACTGTGATTTCCATTTTGAGTAAGGGTCTCTTCCAGAGTGCTAGTCATCCATTGGACAACACAATGTTTAAATCGGTCATCTTAAGAAATCAATTATTTTTCAAGAGTTAGTAAATCTTCACTACATTCTTAACTACCCATTACCAAGATGTTACATAACAAATAACATTACATACTACCCCCCACCGAGGTCTTACATGATGGATAATGTTACACATTACCTATCACAAAACTTGCTGGGCAGCATACTCCCATGTCATCTTCTGGGTTTCGCTCACAAACAAATGTTTTCAAAGGACAGGACTTCTCTCCACAGTGTACTAGTTCTTGGGTTTGGTTGTCCAATAACGGCCTTCCTCTACTACACATGTCACTTTGTGTCCGATAACCTATAAAATGATTAAACTTTTTTTACAAATAAAACTTTTGTATTCTCCTTTCTGTACATACTAATATGAACATTTAACTTTATAAAAATGAACTTAAGAAAGTTCAAATATATTGAATTTCAAACCATTATTAAGAGGAGTTTTATAAAGTACAATGCAGACAATATTTATAATACTAATCACTACTGAGGATCATCTTGTTTAAAATATTGGATTTAAAAGAACAGAGTACATTAATGCTGGAGTCAAAGTACTCACATGATGCTACTGGGGGACAATATACAGACATACAGGGATCCTCCTTAAGAACAATACACTCAGACCCATGGGGACATTCCATATCCTGCAAGTACAAATCAAGTACTTTGATGTCACTAGGTTTGTATAAATGATAGAAAATGTAATAATCCAATGAATAAAACTTTATAAGAAACTAATTTACATTGGACAATTTTCATCTATGTCAGAATCTCTGGAAATATAATTAATTAATAAATATCTATAGTAAATCAAAGTAAGAAGAATGAACATTTGTTTCAGACTTTCCAAAATTAGAGACATCAGCTATATAATTCTTATAGCATTTGTTTCCTCTTCGTGGTTTTCCGAATCAGAACTTACCCGACACGGGTCATCACATTCACACTTAACACAGCCCAAGTCATCGTATTGAAAACCAAATTCACAGTGAAGATCACATGTGGCATTTTCACATCCAGTGGCATCAGGATCTGGGGAGGTATTACAAGAAGTGTTTCAATACACACAAGCTAGACTTCTTGTAATAAAGGATTATATATATTAAAGTCCTGAATATACTAAAGCAACAAATTTAACAACTCTTATATTTAGATTTGTGTGTCTGAAATATTTTCATTACTTTGTTCACTCCTTGTTTGTAGAAGACAATCCACGGCACTAGAGGGTCCAATGGTTCCACGTACTTGAACACCAGTAGAATCCACACACCAACAGAGGGCGCCATTAGTGCTACACTGTTTTGGTAGAAATTCTCCTGTGTCAGTACACTGGGGGACATAACCTTGGAATTTTGCATTGTTGCTGGCTAGTAATTCCACTACAGCCTTTTGTTGCAAGCACACTGAAATATGTTACAGTTATTTGAATACATTACGGACATTTAAGTGCATTACAGTCACTTAAGTATGATCAGGATAAAATGTGTACTGAAATACATTACTCAGCCTCCTTTTTAAAACAGTTAATAATCTTTTGCTGAGCTATCTTAATTAACATTAATGTTTTTTTTTAATTTAACATTAATATATTTTTTACGGAAGTTGAATTTTCTTGATGTGGAAACTTTGATATATTGGTGGTATCATAAACAAAATGTTAAATGTGTGTGAACTATTACAGTATCTGATTTTAAAATTTGTCACTGGTGTACACAGTCTTGTTCTGAATTAAGAAACATAGAAAAGGTATTTAACTTGTTGGATATTCCCTGAAACATAGCCATAAATCATACAGAGTACTAAGTGATAGATGCAATACACTTACACGTCGTATTTTCTGGCTTAACACATGTATGTCCACACACATCTGTATAACAACATTTTTTTACATCAACACAATCCATATCTGACTGACAGGACCCACCACAATCTTCTTTATCCACTTCTGAAGGACATGTGCCTTGTTTATCTAAACGACAAGAAATTATTAAATTCCAATCATAAGTGATCTGTAACATATTAGAAGAATACAAAGAAAACCATCTCAAACAATACATTTGATGAAAGATTTACATGATTCTTGAACAAGCAAAAAAAAAAAAAACTTGCCTGTGAGCATTTTATTCATTTGATAGTTATTACTGGTATTCTAATGATCTCCAAGTTTGGTATTATACAGCTATAAACTCATTATATTTGTATTTCAAACAAGTATAATATATTATTGCACAATTTTCATTTCTAACTCACCAACTAGAGGGCAGCACACTCCATAATCATTTCCTGGTAAAACATTACACAGATAGCTATGTGGACACTGAGGTTTGTTGGGCTCCATGCCACAAAGGAAGGGAAGGCCACTGTCTGGAGAGGTGATTGGTTCTCCAACAGGACAAAAACTGTCCAATGTTCTAGGTTGTTTACCTGTTAAATAACATCATAATCATGATTTTAAACTGCACTGTAGCAAACTAGCCTAAAAATCTACAGTAGTATAAACTCGGATGTTGCCCATTACCTTTGTAACTTCAAATGAAGGGCTTACAACTCTTAAATCTCAAGTTATTATCAGTTTTTTCCTCTTTTGAATGCACTTCTTTGTTTTGTAGAAGTAGCTTTCTTGAATCTCTATAAACTAAAACCTTTTTATATAACAATTAAATCATACAACAAAGACAATATTCTAAATAGAAACAGTTTAAGTGAATATGGCACATAGTCCAAAGTAAATTACAGTACAGTGTACAGTCTAATAAAATAGTAAGGCTAGCATTAATATGCACTAGATGCTACCTGTACAAATACAAATATAATAGAAGGAAAGAAAGAACTCAAAAACTGTGAAGACCAGTAAGATAAAGAGCAATAAACTTAAATTTACAGTTTCTGTGAGTGAAACATCCAATTTGCAACAGTATCACAAACTTACAAGTGGGTAGAGGAGGACAGAGTTCATCAACACAAGGAACTTCTTCCACTTCACATTTCTGGTTTGCAGGACATTTAACCCCCTGTAACATTCATTCAAAATATTACAAACTTGTGAGGAATAAAAATAAAAACTAGCAGGACATTTAACCCCCTGTAACATTCATTCACATTACAAACTTGTGTGGAATAAAAATAAAAACTACAACCAAAATCATAATAATTTTCTTTAGCACTCTGTTAAGTTTTTTTAACAAATCATATTATAAAAACACCAAACCTGTTTACTAAAAAACAGGTTTTTACTCTTGTCTGCCTGCACTTCATTCACACCATCACAAATATTAATCACAATAAGTTCCATTTTATTAATTTCCAATCTCTAACAGCATCTTCAGGAACCACAACTAATGTTGACAACTGATACATTCAATCCTCAGAAACTAAGACTGATCAACACTTATTATGGTAGCTAGCTTTAATCTCTGCTCATTAATCTCCATTTTCAAATCCAATCTACTGCTATTAATACTCAACATTATACACCACAGAAACTTTCCATCATAAGGAATCACTTTCTTTATCAACCTCAATAAACCATTTGCTTCAGTTTATCACCGAGAGTAGCGTAAAATACACAATACTGTTTTAGATCCTTTATCAACTCGGTACAAAAATCTGTGGTACAGCTCTGTTCCTGATGTTACCTAATGTGTTAATGACATCAGCCTGACCCCAAACAAAGCAGTAGAACACAAGATAATGTATCCATATTTTATAGTTTTCTTTAAATCATAACATATTTCTAAAAATTTAAACAATTTTAAACTGATAAGATAAATAATCTCCAAATAATGAAGTGCAGGTTCAGTTGACAAATAGATTAAGTGATGACAGTAAACAAACAGATTATTTTTCAAAAAACATAAGCCAATGTTCAAAATTCTCTTAATTGGAAAATTTTCAACAAAGCAGCTTCCCAGAAAAATGTAAGTATGCCCACAATGACCTAAAATGTTTTTTAGAACCAGGCTTACCTCATCTTTAATTTTATAATCTTTCAACTGTATTCATGTAAAAGTTTAAAACTGAGAGTTCCATACCTTACAAGGGTCTCGACACTCACATATTGGACAACCATAATCATCAAGCTCAAAACCATATGGACACAACATTCGACATGTGTGGCCAGCACACTTATCAGGTGCTGAAAAATAAAACAGGAGAAAGTAATTAATGGAAATGAAATTCCCTTTAATTTTGTAAGTCCTAAGTAATCTGTAATTCTTAAAGAAGAAAAAAAATAGTAATCATAGCATTATATTTGTACTACACCTTATCTCTTAAACCTAACAATAATTAAATAATTTTCTAAAATGCATTACTTATGTCACAGATACACAAAGCTTAACTTAGAAATGACTGCTATCCCATGTATAATTGTGAAGAGTCCAAGAGAATCTTGACCATGTAAATTCAGAATCCATAACCACCATTTAAAGGAAGTTCATAACAATGGTATACACACACATACAAACTCAGCTATACATACAGGTTCACACTTATGTTAAAATACCATTCTAACTAATGACAAAGAATGACTTGGTGATAATGCTTAACTTACACTTTTATTATTAGTAGATCGACAAATTTTAGTCATAACTTCTAGAATTATGCATTATAACAATATTTAATTATTTCAAATTTCTCTATCAGACAAAGTATTGATGAAACTTTTCAAATCAAAACTCCAGTTAAGTGACTCATCCAAATTTCATGTAACTAAGTTATTATTTTTCACATCAAAGGTACTTATTTATCTTTGTATATAACCTTTATACATGTAACAAGGATATATATATATATATTGTTATGTTTTTCCTGGCAGACACTTACCACTACAGTTGACTAGATTCAATGCTCGAGCACGAGTTCCTGCAATTTCAAACCCTTGTTGGTTAACACACCAGCAAGATTCAGAAATGTCATTACACTGAACTGGCTCAAACTTCCCACTTTTGTCACACCTGGGAATAAAAGTGCTTTCTCCCTCAGGTCCCAAGCTTCTAGCTCGTCTTTCCGTTACCAAGTGCAACTGTTGGCAACCTATGTAGAAAAACATTAAGTACATTACCCTATCAATTATTCAAGAAGTAAAATACAGATTTTGATATCAGTGTATGATCTCCTTTTAGTGGCTTTATTTTAAAGATATTATAACATAGATTAAAACTAAGAAAACATTTGATAATTAGAAACTCTCTTCAACAAATGTCACATTTAGTATTTATAAAACTTTTGTAACAATTTAATAAAATATTTATACACATGTCTACAGTAAGGTGCAAGTTCACTAGAACACTTCAACAAATGTCACATTTAGTATTTATACAACTTTTGTAACAATTTAATAAAATATTTATACACATGTCTACAGTAATGTGCAAGTTCACTAGAACACTTCAACAAATGTCATTTCATGTATTTTACACACATAAAATTATTACAAAATTAGCACATAAAAAATGTCTGTTTCATAGTGCTAATATTTAGTGAGGTCATCTTTGTCATCAGTAACATCTTAGCATTTTTGTGGCATTGTATCTATGTATTGTCCCAAAGTCTCTGGAGTAATTTGGTTCCATTGTTCTCAAAGGTTTCTTTAGTGCACTTGGTGCTTTTGTCAAACAAGGAGTCTGGAGTGGTGATGGCCATTCCAGTCACTGGAGATCTCCTGAGCTTGCCAACAGAGTTCAACATATCTTGGAAGTGTGTTTGGGGTCATTATCTTCCTGAAACATGAAATTCTGCCCAATCAGCAGCTTTTTTAGAGGGTACAGCATGTATCAGAAGTTAATATTAATGATGGGCTAATATACTTTGGTATTTGTGCTGATACATGATTTCACACCGTTTGTGAAGATGGCCAGATATTACTGATCAGATTCAGAGAGTTTAAATTTAGACTTGTCTGACATAAGACCTTGAGCCAAAGACCAGGATACACATTCTTTTATAAAAGATAATTTCTTTGAGATATTCTTTTTGTCCAGTAATGGCTTTCTTGTTGCTACTCTTCCCCAAAGAACACATTTCTGTAGCATTCTTGAGACTGTACATTTTTATGGTTTTTCTTTCAATTTTTCAGGGAATTGTTTTTAGATACCTAACATCTCTTTCAGTGAGCTTTGTTCATTTCCCTGTAATAAGACTGGGCTTTCTTGAATATGTCCAATGTGTACTTCACAGTAATAGGCAGGGTCTTTTGCAGTTTATTTAAAAACTCCAAGCAGCATCATGGAAAGATGTGACAGATGATGTCAATTTTCTCCGTTTTGGTATTTTAATGGCAACACTGCACTATATTAACTTTACTGAAAAGTTTAAAAAAATCATCTACATGAAAAACTCAGAATCTGAAAATCTCAAATTATTGTCAGTAATGACTGATAGAGACACTTAAAACAATCATGTATGACAATGTTACACTACCTTGTATTTAGATTACACATCTTGAAGAACTTTTAAAAAAACTAATGCTCTTAATCATTTGTTAAAATACTAAGTCAATCAAATGTGTAGCATATTAAAATCATGGATATATTGAGAAAATTCAATAATTTATCTGTTTCCAGGTTTTTTGTCAACATTTTGAACTAAAACAGTATTATTTCAAAAGCCAACATAAACCACAAGACCAACTGAGCATTCTAATAAATTTCCACTCTGATGTGTGTGTGAGTACATCAGAAGTTAAGTATACTCTTAAATTTTTACAATAAAATATAAAAAGTAAAAACTACCTGTGTAATGAGGAGTTATGCATTTACTGACACAACCATTACTGCAACACTTTGTTAGGCCTCCACAGTCTTCGTCAAACTCACAATCTGCTTTTTGATCGAAACATTCCCTTTTCGAAGATGGTGGACAAACACCTGGTTTAACTATGGGTAAAAATTATTTTTAGTTTCAGAATAATGTGATCAAACTATGGTTTTTCTCAATTAGTAATACATGTGGTTAATCTCAAAGTAAGGTGATTAATCTATAGTTTAGCAATGAGTAGGAAAGGATGGTTAGTTTCAAAGTAAGGTGATTAATCTATAGTTTAGCAATGAGTAGGAAAGGATGGTAGTTTCAAAGTAAGGTGATTAATCTATAGTTTAGCAATGAGTAGGAAAGGATGGTTAGTTTCAAAGTAAGGTGATTAATCTATAGTTTAGCAATGAGTACGAAAGGATGGTTAGTTTCAAAGTATATTTAATTAGCTATACTGATGGCCAGGTATATTTTTAGTTTCGCTCTAAGTACATGACTTACTCTTCTCAGAAGTTATTATTATTTCTTGATATTTAAATCTACACTTGTACA